TATATAAAGTGTAGGACGTCGATATTCGTAAAACAGTGCTCAATACATTAATGTACAGCGAAGTCTATGTTTGTGGAAGAAAGAAACAAATAAACTATGCTTTCATCCCGACAAGCCTGTTTCGTGGTTGCCCACTCACCAGGGGATTTAATAAGAATATTCTTTACCATCGCTTCTTATATACAAAATAATTTACATAATAACAGTAATAAACATATATCTAATCTATGCGGCCCGAAGTTTAACAGTTCAGCTGTAAGTTACGTTGGAGGGCTTTGTTTCTATGCCGGGCGGCAAGAAGACACGAGTTCATTACGTTTGTTGAGTGTAGCTGCGCTCACTCGTGAGAGATACTTTCAGCACGAGAAGATAAAATTCGTATCCCCAAGCGGCCATGTAATATCCTCTATATATATATCTATAACGTCGTGATGTTTTCATTTTAGGTTTTTGTTTTTGCTGTTGTAGCAGCATTTCTTCTTCTGCTGAGTTCCGCTTTGTTAGCTGCCGTGATACCAGACAGTGCTCCAATCAGTTATCTTAATCTTAAACCGTTGGTTGACAAATTACGCGCCGCTGTGGTAAGTTCAAGTTTACTCTACAATATCACGAAGATGTCTAACATGATGACGAAGATAGTGCTTGGTATGAAATAGACCCTTTCCAAATTCATGACCGGAAATCAAAATTTATAACCAAGAGAAACAATTCCACAGAAAGAATTATTATGTTTCATACAGTATTTGGAGTATAGCCGAAACCCCCTTTGCTAAACAAACTTCTGTAGTTTTTCGATAATTTCAAATTTCATTTCCAGGTTGAAAAAAGCTAGTGGCTGAATTAAATTTTGTAAGATTACCAGAAGGAGGGTGCTTATTTTGGGTGTAGTAAAATTTCAAAAGCATTTTAGAATTTATTAGGATAATTTTTTTTTACCGAGATTTTGGAGAAGGCCTGGTTTGATCTCAGGTCTTACTGTTTAAAAAAAAAATGAATCTCTTTTGAGCAGGGTTTTTTTTTTTTTTTTTTAAAGGCTACGGCAACTTATATGTCTCCTTGTCTTTCTTCGCAGGCCTTTGGATTCATCTCCATGTTCGTGTTCATCGCAGATGCTGTTGTTTTCTTCCTTAGGAGAACTGGAAGGATGTGAACTAACGCCCACATTTTGATGAACTGCGTACTCCTTTGAGTTTGTTTAACCTTTTTAATAGTTATTACTCGTCACATTTTTATACCTTTCCTCTATAATGAATTACACTAATCTAGAAACGGACTTAAATGCACAGTATGCGTATAATTAACCCTTTAACTTCCAGAGATAATTATATTGTAACTTAATTGTAACTTAGAAGAAGTTGTTATCTTGATCTAATGCCAAATTATCGCCAATAATTTACCAGGAAATGTGTAGCAGCTAGAAGAGAGAATTAGCAATCAGATCTCAGTAGTTAAAGGGTTTTAGAGAACGATTTAGCGTAACCAGCTCGCGATCGTGGACTGAGCAACCATGTTTGATCTGGGCTTCGAGAGCACGTTGTTTCTTCCACCCTCTGCGAGTTTAATTGAATAAATGTGAGTAGTTGGGAAAAAACAGTGTGGAAAGAAAGAAAGAGAGAAAGAAAGAAAAAAAGTAGACTTTTTATCGTCTTAGCACGTTAATGAGGCTTCAAAACCTCCAGGGAACTCGACTTGTACTATAATGGTCCATAATTATATACTTTATTATCTCTGGTATAACTAATGAAAGCTGTTGCTAAAATCTTTTTGACGCTTCGCAATTATGACTTCAAAGTAGGGCTCATTATGATCGAATTAAATCTTGTGTGAACCACGACATATTAGTTGTGCAATTATCTCCCTTCCCGGCTAACTCACCCAATTTCTTAATTTTATCATTCCATATTGCTGGTACATTCAAGATTTGTACAAATAATTTCAGAATGCAAAATTACCGTATTTGCGTAAACATAAACCTTGGATGTCTTCATATCAAACTGTTTCCCCACTGCGATGGACATTTGTTTTTGTCGGTTCCAGCCTGGCGCGGCCGCTAACCCAGATGCCCTCCTGAGCAAATTTTCAAAATGGCGGACAAGCCAAAGAGAGAGATAAGAGAACCAAAGCGATTCTGCAACGAATACTCAGCATACACCCCTGTTAAAAAGGTCATTTCACAGAGAAAAGATACAAAATTGTATG